GATATAATAATCTAGGCATATAATCTTATAGGCAGGACCTCTAAAGATGCCCAAAACTCTGAAAAATGCCTGCTGGGTGAGAGGGGAGGTGGAAGGAGAGTCCTTCAGGGGCCCTGGCTCACTAGACCTCCTTCCCTTCTCCTCACTTAGGAATCAGCAGCAATGACAGTAACCTCTACCTGACGACCAGCAAGAAGAGACCCAAGTGCTGCCAGTGAGAGTGCCGCCCCCAGCTCCTGGCACTGCCCGTGGATGCCACACCTCTCCCCAGAGTTGGGCCCATAGACATTTGCACTGAACTGTTTTTCCAGACCAAAGAGCTCTTCTCATAAGGGCAGCGGGTGCCCTTCTTCCCCATGGCACCACACCAAAGACTGTTTTTTTTTTAGGCTATTGGGGTTAAGTGACTTGCCCAGAGTCACACAGCTAATGTCAAGTGTTTGGTCTGAGGCTGGATTTGAACTCAGGTCCTCCTGACTTCAGGGCTGGTGCTCTATCCACTGTGCCACCTAGTTGCCCCCTGGATCTCTCTTTTTTAAGGTTCTCCATGGGGACTTGGGGAAGATGACCAGGACAGTGGGGCAGAAAAGGGCCTGGAGGGCCCCTAGAGCTCTGCTCTGCCTGTTGGGCCCCAGGGGGCACGGGGACCCCCCTGCTGCTCCATCCCGCTGTGCCTTACACAATAGTCTCGCTTGGAAGTGGTGTCCTGGGGGAGGGGGCGAATGACGGAGTCACAAGGCTGTGGACACTGAGAGTTCTAGGGATCCGCGGCACAAGCTTGCCCCTTTACTGGGGCTGGATAGGAGGGAGCTGAGTGAGGTCACCGGGCAAACACTGAGTGCCTTGAAGGAGATAGCTACCCTCGCAGTATGTGCTCTGACCTTGGCAGTGAGGGCGTTCTGAGCAGGCAGTCTCCCAGGGCGGTCTGGGTGGCACACATGGTGCTGACTGGAGTGGGGTGGAGGGTGCCGGAGGGGGAGCAGCTGTTCTAGATCTCATGCCGACATCCCCTAAGGTGGAATAGGCAGCCGTCCAGGAGGAGTGTTCTGAGGGGTCCTGGGCATTAATCCCTGTCTCAGAATATCTCCCCAGGTCCATTACTGATGCTGGAAACTCTTATCATTAGGGAGCTATTCCTCTGGGTTAAGCTTTGCTCTGTCCCTGCTTTTCAAAAATTACACTTCAAGGCACAACAAGTGGTCTTGAGCTCCTGGGAGAGTTTATCAGGTGTTTTTTTTTCCTTTTTTTTTTTTTGGTGAGGCAACTGGGGTTAAGTGACTTGCCCAGGGTCGACACAACTAGTAAGTGTCGAGTGTCTGAGGCCGGATTTGAACTCACATCTTCCTGACTCCAAAGGCAGAGCTCTATCCACTGCACCACCTTGCTGCCCCCAGGTGTTTGTTTTGCTGGAGATGTCTTGGAGATAGGGTCACGGATTTAGGTCCCATTCAGCCCAAACCTATCTCTCCTACACTGTTAAGGGACTATCTCTAGCCCTTGTTTCTAGGGTCACAGATATTATGTAAGATGGCTTTGGGTCCATTGCTTTCCTACCTTGATAGCTTTGACAGGTGCCTTACACACTCCTCCCACCCCCCCATCCTCAAAGGCAGAGGTTGGCCAGACTGGGAGAACTTAATTCCCTACATCATGCCTCAAGCCTCTCGTCACATCTGACTTCAGAATCTCAGAGCTAGGAGGGGCCCTAGAGATCAGTCTCCCTCCCCACCTGGCCTTATTTTATAGAGGAAGAGACAAGCCCAGAGGAGAAATGACCTACCCAAGGTCATACTGAATCGGTGGCAAAGGCAGACTAGAATCTGGCCCTCCTGACCCCCTCGGTCCAGGAGTCTCTCCACACAGTGTCTAGTCCCCAGCCTCAGTGCCTTCATTTGGCCCTGCCTCCTCCCCATACGTTACATCCTTAGTTCTGTTCCTCCCTATCACCCACGTGTTTGTGTGGGATTTGCAGGACTTGACATAGATTCAGTGTTGGGGGCTCAGCAGGTACTTGGGTGGGGAGTCGTCCAGCCCATCCTGCTTTGGGGGGGCGGTGTGGGTTCGTGAAATACAGTTGAGCAAAACAAACGGACACTGATTGTGTCTGATGGAGCAAACGCTATTCTGCACCTGTAGTCCACCACCTCTCTGCCCAGAGGGGACTGTTTCCTTGCCTGTCCCCCAGAGTCAAAGAGTCAAGATTGGCTATTGTGCCGATCTGAGGTCTGACGTCCCTGGTGTTTTATTTTACTGTATGGATCATTCTACGGTTTTCTGCTTTGCTCTGTTGGTTCATACAGATCTAACCAAGTTTCTCTTAATTTCGGATATTTATAATTCCTTATGGTGCCATGACTTCTGTCTCATCGATATGCTTATTTGGCCGTTCCCCAGTCCATGAGCACCCACTTTGTTTCCAGTTCTTCGCTCCTGTAAAGAAGGCTGAGTGTGGCGGCTCTACGTGGGGCAGGTCATGGACCTCCTTGGCCGACGGCATACATAGCAGCGGGGTATCCCCGGGAGGGCCGATCCAACCTTGTGGTCGTGTTCACGGGGCAGAAAGTCATCAAGCCCAGATATGCATCCCGTGCGCTTGCCTCCCAGGCCAGTGCTCCCCCTGCTGGCCTGTCGGGGAAGGACTCCTCTCTCATTCCAATGTCTTGCTCTTCCCCTGATGGGATGCATGGTACACAGTGGGAATCTGGGTTTGAATCCTGGCCTGGCCACTTCCTGTGTAACTTTGGACAAGTTATGAACCGCTTGGCCTTCACTTCCTTATATGTAAATGCCCTCGAAGAACCCCGTCATCTCTGCCTGGGATCTAACCTCAGTCCTTCTTGCTTAGTTTTTGTCCGTTTCCTCGTTCATCATTTCCTTTAGTGTAATGCCGGATGCTCCAGGAGTTATGCAATCTGCTGTCCCTTCCATCCATCCCAATATACACACATGATCCCTTTGGGAAGCTATCTGTTCACAGCCTAGCTGGTCTTCTTGCCTCCAGCTTGTCCCTTCTCCATAATGTTTCAATTCTGTCTCTGGCATTCGAGGCCCTGCATGCTCTGACTCCAGCTTACTATTTTCCATCACACAATCAACGTTTTAGCGGCACTAGACCTCTCTGTTCTCTCTTCTTGGCCTCCTTGCCCCTCTCCTTACCTTTACTACATTCGTTCCCTGCAGTTCTCTCCCAGTCCTCCTGTTGGAGGCCCTCCAAGACCTGTTTGTAGTTCTGGTTCTTCCATGAAGCCCTCTTCCCATCCCCAGGTGAAAGTGATTTCTCAGATTTCTCATGGCGCCTTGCCCTTCCCTTCATACTCCATTGCCCTCTGTATTATATACATTTGCAGCCTTGTCTTTCCATCTTTTTTTTTTTTTGGCTAGGCAGTGGAGTTAAGTGACTTATCCAGGGTCACACAGCTAGTAAGTGTCAAGTATTTGGCCTGAGGCTGGATCTGAACTCAGGTACTCCTGACTTCAGGGCCAGTGCTCTATCCCCTGCACCACCTAGCTGCCCCAGGTTTTGCCATTTTTAGACTTCAGTTCGTATTTTCAGGAGGTTTGCTGCACACCCCCTTCTTTTACAACCTCTAATTTTAATTCACATGAATGCTGGGCAGAGACCCCTAGACGCAGCAGTAACACCAGACAACCCCTCTTTTGGTGAGTCTGCATGGCCCTGAGGCGGTTCTCCTGTCTAGTGAGACTGTGAGCTAATCTCTCCTTTCTGTAGATGCTTTGGTTTTATGCCCACCTACGAACCAAGAAAGGTTCACAGGAAAGAGAAGGGCAAGGTCAGATCTATGGTGATGCTGAAGCTCCATTCAAGTCTTGGAACCCAAGGAGGAGGCGTCCCTTAAATAAAGAATCTGGGGAGGATGTGGGGCTCCTGCGAGTGTGTGTGTGTGTGTGTGTGTGTGTGTGTGTGTGTGTGACACTTGCCTGGGCAAGGCGTGGTGGTGGGAAGGCTTGAGATGCCAGGGGGTTAGCGGTGGAAAGGGGAGGAGGGCCATTTCTCTCCCCCTCCTGCCCCTCCTAGGTTCTTTTGAGCTACTTGAACTAATGAGGCCCCTTCAAGACCTCCTTCTATGCTAATTCCCTCGGCTGGTGGTGTGAATGAGGTCTCTCCACCCACCCAGAGAGGAAAAAAGACCCTCCTCCCTTCTCAGCTCCCATGGGGAGGAGGGTAGGCTGGAAAAAAGGGCCATGTCACTGGCCCAATGGGTTGTTTGGAGAGGGCTGGCAGCGGAACGTCACCCCATTCCAGGCTGCCATGGCAACCGGGCAGGACCCACCCCCCTTCTCACTCTTTGAAGGAGGAGGGGATCAGAGGCAACTGGCAGTCAGACTGCCCAGAGTAGGGGGTGGTAGTATTTAACTCCTTCTCGTCTTTCCTATGGTCTGGTTGGAACTGGAGATGGACTTGGACCAGGAAGAGGAAATTAAGTTGTATCATGTGCCCAGCGGTTTGGAGGTCAGAATGAGAGGGATGGCGTTCTGCTCTTCCTCTGGCCCAGAGAGCGAGCAGAGAGGAGCTGATGGGCTGCCTTCTTGTTCCTGTCCAGCCAGCTCGGGTGTTAACCAGAGGCTGGAGGGCTTGGCCCAAACCTGGGCCAGGGTGATGCTGAATCTCCTTTTCCTTAGCCCATTTCCCAAACGATTTCCTGAAGCTTATCAGCCAAACTTGGCCCCTGTGCCTGAGAAGGAGAAGTCCCTGGTGCCAAGCTTTGGTGGGGGAAGAGACAGGTTGAAAGATCCAGGGAGATTTGAAGCCTCTGGGAGAAAGGCAAGAAAGAGAAGAGGAGAGCTAAGGAGAAGGGGGAAAGGAAGGAGATGAGGAAGGGAGGAAACAAAAGGGAGGAGGGAGAGGGGAGGGGAAAGGCAGACAAAGGAGAAAAGAGAAGGGGAGAGGGTGAGATGGGAGAAAGCGGCAAGGGACAGGAGGTGGGGGTGTAAAAGGGGTTGAAAGAAAAGGGAGAGAAGGCGGGGTATGAAGAAGGGAGAAGAGGGAGGAGGGGAGGGGTAGGCTGGGGGCCTTAGCCCCTCCCTGGGCAGATCAGGCCACCCAGTGGCCTTGGGTAGCTGTATGAGGCTGCGGGGGAAGGAGAGACTTGCTTTGGAGATTCAGAACTGACCGGGCCATGAGTTCCCAGGGCCGCTGGCTGGGGCTGCCACTGCTGCTGACCACCGTGGCTGGGGGTCTTGTCGGACCAGGAAGCCTGGAGATTGCACCCCATCGGGTCAAGAGGGGCTTCACTTACCCAGGCACACTGTGGTGTGGGGCAGGAAACAATGCTGAGAGCTACGAGCAGCTAGGTGAGGGAGGCAGAGCAGGAGCTATGATGGGGAGGCAGAGCACACTCAAAGGTAATAGGAGATGGCTTCCCAGCTCCCACCTGAGGGCTGGAGGCTGGGCCCAGAGACAGCCCCAAAGGACCTACGTTGGCTAGATAACCGACTTGGTCAGCAGCTGGACAGCGGGAGCTGCTGAAAGCTGCATCTCCAGCCATCATCCTAAGGAGTCTGGAGATATTGCACAATCACCCCTCATGGGTGCCAGGGGAAACCTACGAGAAGGCATGGATTTGGGGAGGAAATGGAGGCAGGGCCCAGTGATTTGGGTCCACTAAGCTCTCTGGCTCTCCTTCTCCACCCAGGGGAGTATGAGGAGACAGACAGATGCTGTCGAGACCACGACCAGTGTCAGCATGTCATCCACCCCTTCACCGTCAACTACGGCCATCACAACTTCCGCTGGCACACCATTAGCCATTGTGACTGTGACACAAGGTGAGTGGCGGGGGTCATGGGCTCAGCGCCCCTCCCACTTTCTAGCCAACAAAGCCTGGGGAAGGAGGAGGGCAGAGTTTAGTCCCCTAATGAGCAGGACTCCCTACCCATCCTCCTCAGGGCAGGTTCATCTACTCAGCTCTGGGATCCCAGGTTTGGCCTCCATGCGCTTGGCTATGCCCACCTGGATGAAGGGGAGGGACTGGCCTGGGGAGTCAGCACCAGAGACCAACCCTCTAATGGCTTCCTCAGTCTGGGTCTTGGAAGCAGGGGGGTGGGGGGCATGGCTGGGGACAGGCCTGAGCTGGGTGTCTGGCAGGCTGAAGCAGTGCCTGCAGCAGGTGAATGATGCTGCCTCCCGAGCCATTGGTCAAGTCTTCTTCAACGTCATCCAGGTGCCCTGCTTTGAGCTTACCTATGAGGAGCAATGCGTGGAGCGCTACTGGTACGGCTGGTGAGTAGTAGGTGGGCAAAGGCGGGGAAAGGGGCATGCTGGTCTTCCTCGTTCCCCTACACTGAGGTGCCCTGTCCTTTGCAGGTGTAAAAGCTACGGCCCCATGCCCCGGGCAGTGCTCCATGACCCTGTGCTCTATGAGTTTGGGGGACAGTTCATCAACGTTCTGTCCCACACCTCCCCACCTCTAGGCAGGACTCCCACTCCAGGCCTCGGGGTTGCCACCCAAAGCTGGAGGGTCCAGTACTCTCCTGTACAGCCAGCAGCTCAGGATGGTAAGGGCACCATGAAGGGGAAGAAAAAGGGAAAGAGGAAGAGGAAGAAGGGTCTTTTGCTAACACCAGTTCCAGGCCCGGAGCCCCAGCTGGTGAAGGAGCTAGAGAGCAAAACCTCAGCACCCACGGTCAATGAGGCAGCAGACCTGGATTGGGGCGGCAAGGACAATGGTTTTAATGACCTGCTTCACGATGAACCCAAAGCCGAGGAACCGACAGAACCCACTCCCAGAAAGACAGAGGTCAAGACCACGGCCTGGCCAAAGAAGGACAGGAGGAAGGGGCATCGCAGGAAGAAAGAGCACAGAAAGGGCGCTGTCTCCTCGTCGAGGCCAAGCCTCAGCTGAGGATGGGGGTTGGGGTGCATCCAGCGCCTGGCACTCTCCTTGTGGGCTCTTTCCCTTGCTTCTCCACTGGCACTGATGCCCAGGAACTTAGAGGGTTGCAGCCACAGAGGCACGAGCAGGGTTTTCTGGTTGCCATCCAAAGGCTGTTAGCTACTAGAGGAACTGTGAAGAGGGATGGGCGTGAGTGGCATCAGGAAGACTTCTACCCTGGTGGGTGGTGGCCTTCATTCCCTCACCTCTGGCTCACGGGGGTAGCAGGGGAAGGTCAACTCTCAGCTCTTTGACAGGGCACAGCTGTTTCCAGAGATGGCCCAGAGCAGAAGATACAGCTTTGCTACAGCAAAGGGAGAAAAGGGGGTAGTGGGGGGCGGAGGGGCTGCCTCTGTTCAGAGCTCCTCTTTGGGAGGGACAGGACTGACTGCTTGGTGTGACAACAGTGCTAAAACAAAATCATTTCACTTTCTGCTCTTTCTGTGCCTGTATCAATCAGTTGACCCTGAGGGAAGAAGAGAGTCCCAGTAAGGACTCTCTGCTGGGTGGCAATGACCACTAGCCATTCTGATGATGGTATGGGTGAAGTCTGCAGGACGGGCAGAAATGGGCAGCTGAGCCTCTCAGGGCTGGCCATTAGACCTGGCACATCTCTTGCCTTGCATATAAAGTGTTCAAAGGACCAGCAGCTAACTCATTAGCTGGATGGCCTGGCTCCCCTCCCCCTGCCCACGAAGGCCAGGGCGGAAGGGGGGTAGTCTCTGGGAGAAGAGCTGCCTAAGCCTGCCTTTCCCCCTCCTCTCCTGGAGCTCTTCTCTGCCCCAGGGTGGGAGAGGGAAAGGGGGAAGGGCCAGCCCATTTTCCCAGGCTCCTCTAACAAAGCTGGGATGAAGCCCTTGTAAAGGAGGCACCCAGGGGCCAGGCAGCTTTGAACAAAAGAGGAGGAGGTGCTGGGGCTGGTGGTGACAGGGGAGGGGGCTGGGACTGGGGCCTGGGCAGCTCCAAATGCACAGGGTGGCTGTGGAGACCAGTTTCACCAGTAACACTGAGAAGAACTGATAAGGTGGGGGTAGGGGTGTGAAGAGGACCTTGGTGAGGCATGGGAAAAAACTCGGTGAACAGAACGGTGGCACGTGCTTAGGATGGAGGGAGGGGAGAGGATGCTGCCCTAGGGTAGGGAGAAAGGAACAAAGCAGCCTGAGATGCTTTACATCATGGGTTCCAAGAAAAATACTTCTCAGGAGTAACACGGGAACCTCAAGAGTCCAGCCTTTTCCTTGACTTACCTGGGCTGCTTGAACTGAACAAAGGACAGAGAGAGTGTGTGAGAGAGTATGTGTGTGTGTGTGTCGGACAGTGAAAGCCTCCCTCCTGCCACAAGGGATGGTTGTTTTTGGAGGAACCTGGCAGCTAGAGAGAACACCCGCACCAATGCTCTGTAGAAACACTGTTTATTCCAATGGACAGGGTCGAAGCTGCAAGGAGAGGGTGGCCATGCAGCAGCGAGGCAGACGGGGCTGGGAGGGAAGGATCGCCCCAACGCTCCTGTTCAGACGAGCTGCCGCCACCCCAGGTTTTGGCTTCAATGTCAGATTGTTTGCCTCTCTCTCAGCCCTCCTCTAACCCTCCCCCCCTCCCCTGAATAAATAGCATCTCCTGCAGAACTGGAGACTGGGGGGGGGGGGTCCTCTTCGACGGAGCGTGGCACCCAAAGTCAGAGTTGGCGGGTACAGAAGCCTGCAGGATTGCTCCAGTCCCATCCTCTTTTCCCCGCCCAAGATGGGGCATCAGCATGGGGAGGGCTGCCACCTAGCACCTGTACTTGTATATGCAGGTGACGTGTTCCCATCACCCATCCGAGCTGACCAGCATGGAAAATGTCATTTCATGCCATCAAATGGACAGAAAACGAGTTCTCAGGGAGGGCGTGGCCCAGCCGTGCTCAGCCCCGGAGGTGACCAGAGTCCCGGGCTGGCTCCCTAGCGGTCCATCTCATCCAGCAGCGGTGTGGCATCGCCGGCAATGGACATGGGGGTGCTTTCGATCATGGGGCTGGGCGAGGGGCGAGGCGTTAGCCGCTGTTTTTGTTTCCGACGCTCTGCCTCCTTCTCCTGGAGCCACTGCTCTGCCATCTTCCCCCCAGTCGATGGCGGCATGGCTGTTGGACCTGGACGCAGACAGAGAAGCAGGGTTAGGGCTGCTTCTAGGGCCACCCAGTTTCTCTGATTATTGTCAAGGCCCTGGCAGGGTGACCTACTCCTCCCTAGAGCAGGGGTGAACTGCCGATGGCTACAGCTCCTGATCTGTCCCTCCTGGATCTCACATGGGGCATCGCCAATCCCTTCAAGTCTTGTCTATAGGCCTAGAACCTCGGGCATCTGTTTATCGAAGGTTCCTTCTACCCTCACACGATACCCGCCATTTCCTTGTTGCCTTTGTCCTAGTTCCCGGCCCCTCCTAATAGACTTACTTTGGCTGCTGTCGATGCCGGGAGCTGGAGGAGGGCTGGGGCTGGGCCTGGGCCTGGGTGGACTGTGGGGTGGTGTTGGCTTGTAGCTGGTGGTACTGGGGCGTGGTGATGGGCTGGCTGGGGGTTGTGTATGAATAGCTGGGTGTCATCAGTGGCGTGGCCACAGGCTGCTGGGCTGGGGTTGGGAACACCTTGGTAAAGAGAGAAGAATTCAGAAACGTCAGTGATTATAGCACAGCTTAAGTAAAGGGACAAACTGGAGAGTAAGGCCTGGAAATATGAGAGGCAGTCCTGTGTCTCCTCTAACCCACCCTGGCTGGGTGACCCTGGGGACAACCATAAACCTCTGGATATTCCAGGCACCTCCCCAAGACCAGACATAGCAGAGAAGGTGCTGACCAAGAGCCCTTGCAGGAGCTCCCTACCCCAATGAAATCCCAGACCAGGCCTGGGCTCTTACCTGGAGCCTGACCCTGAAGAGGAGAACAGTGAGATTCTATGACTTCTCACCACCAAGTACCCCCAAGGAAGGTCACAATCTCCCTTCCCCTGCAGCCCCTCCCCACCAAAAGGGCTGGGCAAGGGGGATGGTGAGGAACAGAACACCTGGGAGGAGTGCCTGTCTTGGTCACCAACAAATGCTAACTCTATGAAGACCACACGAGCCAACGTGGGCATGGGGAGATGAATGGTGTTTGCCTAATAGGGCCTTGGACCCACCTCCCCCAACCCCTCCCTGAGTCACTTACGTGGTAAGCACTGCTTCCACCCCCACTGCCACCATAGCCATACTGACTGGAGGCCCACTGGGCCGGGGTGGCATTGGGGTTCTGTCCTTGGCCAGTCACAGCAGCAATGGCACTGAACATCTGGGAGGTCATGTTCTGGGGCAAGGCATTCACTGCTCTGGTCAGATCTGCAAGACCAACGAGAGAAGCGGACAGGATTGTGTGGTTAAGGCAAGACTAGATGCTTCGGTGCCACCCCACCCTGGCCCCGGCCACTGCAGCCAATTCTGGGGCCATTTTTACCTGCGAGGTTGATGTTGGCAGGGGTGGCATTGATGGAGGCTGGCGTTCTTGTCCTGCTGCTGCTGCTGGGCGTAATGCCTGAAGGAAGGGCAGGGTTTTAGTAAAAGGAGCTTCCTGAGCTTCTGCTGGGTCAGGGGCCTGGGGGGAATTCTGTCCAGGGACAGTGTAGTAGAACACTTCTTCCCACATGGCCAGCCCTGGGGGTCTGAGGGCTTGATAACCCAAGCCTGCCACTGCCTTAGTGCAGAGAGTGGGGATGACCCTTAGCCAGGTCCCGCAGCAGCAGAAGGGGAGGAGTCACCTGGCACAGGGTCTTGGTAATGATCCTTAAACCATCGGAAGAGCCCATTCACAGTCGGGAAGACCTGGCCTCGGTACCGGAAACCTTCTGGAGTCACACTCACATATTCTATCCTGAAGTTGGCAGAGAGACAATGCATTAGGCACCAGGAGAAATGAGCCCCACCCCAGGCTGCCACACATTGGTTGGGAAGGGGAGGGGAAGGTTGGTGAGCAAATACCAGCAGAACACTGTACCCACAGATCAAAATGGCAGCAATCACTCAACTCATTCTCTCCCTAACAAGGTCTGTCCTTGACAATTCAGCTAAGCAGAGCACGTGTGCGCGCACGCGCGCGCACACACACACACACACACACACACACACACACACACACACACACGGCCAGCACGTGTTACAGGCCAAACAACTGGGGGGAGGCTCACGTAGGTGGCAGCACTGGGCTGCTCCCTGCTCAGCTCCAGCCTGAACAGGCCCTCACCTTGGCTTGCCCCGGGGCTGGTAGCCCAGCAGGAATTTGCCAGGCAGCTCCTTACAGGCACAGATGAAGTAGGGAATGAAGGTTGGCTTCTCCTTCTTGGTTTTGATGAGCAGCTCCTCTAGTTTCTAGGAACAGAAAGGGCAAGACAGATGACGGGAGGATGGCTCAGTATTCCCTGCAGCGCTCGGCAGACAGTCACATCTCTGCTCCCAGAGGGGGCATATTTGAGTTACTTCTGTACTGAATGTTCCAGGGCCCACCTGGTGGCCACGCTGCCCCTGCATTTGGCAGGAGAGCTTAGTATTGATGGCTCTCTGTCCTGCTGTCTTGGGCTAGGGCTCTCCTGGAACCTCCCCAGGCCACATTACCCAAGCTTGTCTGTACCTCAGAATAACTTCCCTGGGGATACGGTTAGAAGAGGGTCTCTCTTTCACCAGGGTTTTATGCTCAGCCAAAGAGGTATGAAGAGAGAGTGAGAGAGTGTATGTGTGTGTTTAAAGCACTCTTTTTGCTCTAGTTCCAAATAATTTCCCTCCTTTACTACCTGATGCAATGAGACAGCAAAATGAAAAGTTACAAATAAGTATGGTCATGTTTACCACCCTTTCCCCCGCCAAAAAAAAAAATAATAAAGAAAAGAGAAAAAGAATGAAAACAAAACAAAACCCAAGCTTCCATTTGCCCTCTGAGTCCAGCAGCTCGTTTCATCATGAGTCCTCTGGAACTACAGCTGGTCACTGTGTTCATCAGTTACTAAACCTCTCACCTTTACAGTGTCGCTTTTGCTGTATAAACTGTTCTCCTGGTTCTGCTCACTTCATTCTGCATCAGTTCATATGCCCTCCCAAGTTTCTCAGAAGCTTTTTTCTTTCTTTCCTTCTTGCTTTCTTTATTTCTTACAGCGCAGTATTACCCCATCATATTCATAGACCATACCGTGTTCGTAACTATTCCCACAATTGAAGAGCATCACCTCAGTCTCCGATTCTTTAAAAAGAGCTGCTACAAACAATCTTGTGCATAGAGGTCCTTTCCCTCTTTCTTTGATCTCTTTGGGGCAGAGACTTAGCAGTGCTATTGCTGGGTCAAAGGGCATACACAGTTCAGCTTTTGGGGCACAGTTCAAATTGTTTTCCAGGATGGCTGGACCAATTCACAGCTCCACCGACAGTACATGAGTATACCTGT